ATAATCTATCTCTGCTTCTTTACCCCATCCTTTAACCTCTCACTAACCCATCTTGCTCTAATAATACTGATCTGCCTTCAGTTCCCTAGTCATACCAGGTTCTTCCCTATTTCTCTGTCTGCCCTCCCTTTCTTCTTCACTGTATTAATCCCTACTCTATTCCATGAAGCCCGGGCTGGATTATAATTCCCTCTCCCATTCTCCAAGGGAATCCTATACATCCAACATCACAGCATCTGCCATGTTATATTGAATTTTTTTGTTTGTTTGTTTCTATGTGTGTCTCTCCCACTGGACTGAAAGCTCCTTCAAAAAATCAGTACAGTAAATCTAGTGTAGTAGCCAATTCCTGCTTCTCACTTAGAGATCAGATTTATGTCATCTCTCAGAAAGCCTGTCTCTGATCATCTCACACCTCCACCTGATTCACCCTTTTTTTTCCTTTACTTACCACTTTATAGTATTTCCTTATTTATTTAAGTGTTTGTTTAGAGTTTGTCTCTCCACTAGAATATGAACCTCAAGAGCTGAGGCTTTTCTGCCTTGTTCATCCTTGTATCTCCACTGCCTAGAAAAGTGCCTGTGTATAGAAGCCCTTTAATTAATATGCAGTTTTCAAAATTGAATTTAATGAATGGAGAATGGATGGATGGATGAATGGATAGATATATTGCTAGATGGGCACATAATAAGGGGTCAATAAATTAGTCAGGACTGAGTAAACCTATCCGAATTAGGTAAGCAGTCTATATAGATCAGTAATGGTAGAGGATCAGTTTTTGTTTTTTTTTTTTTAACACCTGTAAAGGGACACAGACCACCATAGTGCCTCAATATTTACTTCTGTGACTCACTGCCACAGTCTGTTGCCTGCTGTTTTAATGTTCGCCAGTTTGTGAAAGCTCTATCATATCCTGAGTACCACTAGTAATACTCTACATGATTCCTTCATGTTAATTCTCCTATCCTCCATTCCTAGTATATGTACACACATCCCCATGTAAAATCACAACAGAAGAAAAACAATTCAGTATCAGCTTTTTAAAAATTACTGAACTCTTCACTCTATCAGTTGATATTATTTTCTGTTTCTGCAGGAACATTTGGCTTAAATTCCAGACTTACCTTTTATGAGTTTACCTTCCCTCCTCACTGGTTTCCTCATTTATGAAATGAGTGTGATAACCTTTTTTCCTTGAACTGTTATGTTGATTATGTGAGGAAACACATGTGGATGCACTTTTGAAACTTCAAAATGCTCATCTAATATTGTTTTTCATCAAGTATTACTTCATGTCCTTCCCTCATTTATGGATGGTGATAGCATATATCTCCACATTATCTTTCTTTTAAGCATCTTATTGTTCACAGCTTAAGGTCGCTTAATCTTAGGTGTATAATCATTTGCATTCTGAATTGCAACTCCTTCATTAGTTTTTATAACTGTTGTATTTAATAGGACATTGGGGAAGTGGATGGCACAGGCAAAAGGAAATTGGATTTTGAACCTTTTATTATGATGACATCCATTTGATTGTGGTCCAAATGATTAGTGAAGAAAATGCTGCTGTTGTGACAACTTTCCAGTGTGAAATAAAGCGTAAGACTGAAATTTGCTTATTAGGTTACTGTCTCAGAATAAAAGCACCCAGTACCAGTATTCAGCAATATTTCCTGAGCTCTTCTTGTGTGCAAGCCAAGCTACTATGAGCATCTAAGAATGCAGCAGTGTAAGACTCGGGATCTGCTGCAAAGGAGCTAAAAGGCCGGGATGGCCTCGTCTCTAAGGAGTGATGCGCAAGTGACCTTGTAGAACCAAGCTTATTATTAACAATTTACGGTTTCAAAGGGAACAAACCATTTATCTTTCATTACCTCACAGCTTGTAGACTCTGTGTCACCATAACCACAATTTTTGAAATGAGAAAAACTGACGACCATTCCGTTTTTAAGGAATTAAGCTGATACTTCACACACTCATGTTTTGCTCAAGAACCTCCCCCCCCACCCAGAGTCACTGGCCACATAAAGTATAGTATGTAAGTAAATGTTGCAAAAGTTAATTCTAAAAGAACTTGTAGGCTTGAGGACTGAGAAAAGAAAAATTTACCAGTTTTGACCTCACAGCACCGAGATAGCTCAGGAGAAAATATTTTGTAAGCTGTGAAGTACTATATACATACAGCATGTCAATATATATTTTTTTAATTCTATTTTGTTTGAATGTATAACTGTTGAGGACATGACAAAATTGGGAGCCTTATGAGAGAGTAAGTAAATGCAAATATCTTTTTAAATTGCTCATTGGTGTTTGGCCTATATGATAAAGTAGCAGTTCATAGCCATTGTTTGCTGATATAGTTGCTAGTAAGAGGAGGTTAAGAGGACTGACAAAGTGGACATGCTGAATAGTGGTTTGAGGTCTAATTTCTTTTAAAATAGCTACAAATTCAGTGAAGATATCCAATTCAGCATAAGGTCTTTAGAAGTAAACAACTAAATGGTACAGAGTTCTTTCTGAGGCTATCTTGCAGTTTAATTAATCAAAGCTGACTCTCTGGCTCTGCCATTCCACTGACTGGCCTACAATAAATGGCCTCCCTTCCTGCTGTACTTTTCCTTCCAAACATTGTGCAAATCAAGGACAAGCATCCTTGAGACTCTTTTTAATGGCAACATTCGTAAAAACCCAGCCTCCTGCAGTTGCTTAAAATCAAAGTGTCATCATGAAAGCTACTTAGTGCTTTTATGAAATCTGTAAAGATCTTGAAGTTTGAAATGCAAAGCAGAGCAAGAATCCAAAGACTCAATATTTGAGTTTTCAATGTTCATTTTTTTAGGAATGTGAAAATCAGATTGTTATCCATGACTCCTAATGCTGTGATTCTAAAAATGAATGACTTCTTAATTAAATGACTTCAAAGTGATATAGTGCTCCTTTATAAAGTGCTAGAGTTCTAAATGCAGTGCTTTAGAAAATATCTAAACTGTCTAAATTTAACTCAGCAAGTGAATAATTTGTTAGCTATCAATAACAAAGATGCAGTTTTTGCTATATTAATGTCATATATACTAATAGCAACTGATTAAGATGATTACTTATCCACAAATTTTGTTTTTTAAAAAAGTGTTTAAAGGTTTTAAATTCATTGGGAAAATGTTACTAAGTAATGTCCTTTGAACTACTTATTATCTGAGCTTGGAATAGATAAAAGAAACATTTATGCTTAGTGAAAAAAATGGAGAGCAACGAGAATCATCCTTGTAACTTTTAAAAATATAGTCCTGTGGCAGAATTCTTTGTTTCATATTTGCATCCTCAGTCAGTTCAATTCAGTTAAGTCACTCAGTCGTGTCTGACTCTTTGTGACCCCATGAACCGTAGCACGCCAGGCCTCCCTGTCCATCACCAACTCCTGGAGTTTACTTAAACTCATATCCATCGAGTCGGTGATGCCATCCAACCATCTCATCCTCTGTCGTCCGCTTCTCCTCCTGCCCTCAATCTTTCCCAGCATCAGGGTCTTTTCAAATGAGTCAGCTCTTTGCATCAGATGGCGAAAGTATTGGAGTTTCAGCTTCAACATCAGTCCTTCCAATGAATACCCAGGACTGATCTCCTTTAGGATGGACTGGTTGGATTTCCTTGCATCCTCAATCTGAATGTAAACATTTAATTACTAAAAATTGTTAGACTTCAGTAGTAATTAAAATCTAAAATATCCTTGGTGACAATGACTAAGTTGTGCACTAAGGTTTAATAATAGCAGTAAACTCCTTTCATATTTTCAAGAATTCTAGTATATCATTATAGTATATTTTATAATTGGATTATCGTATTTATTATACAAATGTAATTTTTTTCAATAAGTTGAGTATAGTACATATTATTGAAATTAAGAAAACTAGGTATTGCTTTTCATTATAGTATTACTTATTCTGAATTTTCAAAACTGAATTAAAAATAAGTGTACTGTCTGGTGAATTTTTAGTAAATAATTAAGAAATTTAAATGTATATTATATATATAGTACATATGTTATTTTTATTTTTTAATTTAAAAATTTTTGAGTACATATATTATTTTTACATCAATTTACTTTTATTTCTGATTTTAAAATTGAAATACCTTCAGTATCTGAGGACCTATTATTTTGAGTATATTATGCTTTAATCTTAGTATTTTAAGTATTTATTAGTAAATGTATCTTGAATTCCAATTTACAAATTTAACAAAAAATAAAAGAAAAATGCTAAAATATATGTGCAGAATCCCTATTGATAGAGTTGTGTATTTTGAATTAAAATTAGAAATGTAAATATTTTAATATCTTGATTTACTGAGTGGTATTTATACTGCTCTATATAATGTCTGAGTGCTTACCTGCTTACTCTATAAAAATAATTTGTCTATGTATTTCCTGTTACTTATAGCATAGCATGTTATTATTATAATGGTTTAAAATGTTTTGACAGGTTTACATACAGCCCTTTTTTTGGAAGCATTGCTGCCAGCCATTATAAAAATAAAACTTAAAAAGTTATAGTCATGAGAAATGCTAAGTCAGTATGTAACTGATTTTAATACAAAATTCAGATGTAGCCTAGTCAAGAAATAATGGACCAATCGATATTTTTTGACAAATTATGATTTGTGAGGTGTGCCAATGGAAATATAAAATACGAGATAGACTTTCTAAGGACATTACACTTTTTGTTGATTTGATCAACACAGGATAGCAGTATATAACACAGAATAGGTGTGCAGAAGGGACATGTCTGTTCAGATGCCACATTCACAGCAAAGTAAGAGAGAGTGGTAGGAGGAGCAAGAATTACTCCATGTTGTGATCTGTAACTAACCTGTGAAATGTGAGGGGCTTGAATGGCATGATGGTCCAAGTTGAAATCACTTTTAAAAATCTTCTATCAAATCTAACAGCCACATGTGGATATGTTATTTCTGATACCTTCACATTTTTCCTCTAATTTGTTCCTAGAATGCTCTGGCCCACTGGGAATTGAAGGGGGAATCATTTCAAATCAGCAAATCACAGCTTCATCTACCCACCGAGCTCTTTTTGGACTCCAGAAATGGTATCCCTACTATGCACGTCTGAATAAGAAGGGACTTATAAATGCCTGGACAGCTGCAGAAAATGACAGATGGCCATGGATTCAGGTAACAGAAGGGATGGGACAGGGTTTCTGCCAAGGAATGGCTAGAGTCATTTCACATAGAAGATAGTGAGTGACCAAAGTGTGACTTTTCTTCATGGTCACAGAAGAAAGGATGATTTAGCTAGAGTCCAAACTGACTATAAATCCTGAAACTGTGGGAAATGTGAATATTCCATTTGAAAGTGAATGAAGAGAGTTAAAAAATGTAAAAATGACCTTGAGTTGTAAATATCACTCTCTGAAGGTACATGTCATAGAGAGGATTTTACATATGCCATGTGTCCATTAATACTATGTTAACACTTAGTAGCAATTTTTGGTACTTCAGAAGTATAAAAATGGTGTCTTTTCCTCCTCTGTCTTATTAGTGGTTCCATATGTGTATATATAAATTATACAATGGCGTATAATATCTCAAATGTCTTTTGCACCCTCTTTCAATAACTAGGTGTGTTTCAATTAATACTCTGTCATTTATTATCATCAGTCAGCTCTGTTTTTAAATGTGAGAAAACGATGCCATACCAAGATATTAAATGATTTCTGAAAGGTGTGATGGATGGGAGTAATGCCTGCGTCTTATGTATTATCTGCTTAACACCTTTTGAGCCCTTAACTGAAGTGAGACAGGAAAACTATATTTTTGGAGGCAGAAAAGGTGCTCAAACCATGATTTCTGTGAAAGCTTATACCTCTGTTGGTGTGGCACATGTTAATAACATTTAACAATTCATTGAGGTGTGCTAAAGAGAGGGGAAATCCAGTGTACACTGAGGTCAGAGGAAGAAGTTATTAATTATCAGGAGAAAGGCTCATGGGAAGATAGCTTCTGAGACAGGCCTTGGAAGATGACTTTCATTAAAGACTAGATACCAAGGAAACAGGATGATCCAAGATGCCACGTGATAATCTGGGCAGTGCCAGATAGCAAATCATGACCTGTGTTTAGGTTGCTGGGGGAAGTGCATGTGTGGGTTCAGTGCACCACAGAATTGGAATAGGGAGTTATTACAGAATCTTGATTTGTTTAGATAGCTGATCTCATGTTTTGACTACATACTTTGAGTCAGAGGTAATTTTTAAGATGCAGATGTATGATGTAATATTATTAAGTGGCAAAAGATAGAGGTTGCTTTTCAGGGATAAGAAAGGGATATTAATTTACAGCCAAGTGATTTGATTTCTATACTTTCAAAGCAGGGCCAGAGTCTCCTTCAGATATATCTTTCTTCAGATTTCTTATGAATTTTACACATTCTAAATACATTTCTTTAATCTATATGGCTCCATGTGATTATCTGATATTCTTGTTTGGTTTTATGAATTTAATTGTTATGCATTTGCGGAAATTGCTTCTTTAGTTACAGATGATTTTTCTAATCAAATGCCACGTGGGCGGGGAGAACTCCAGATAGTGGAAATGGCACCTCTGTACAATTTTGATCATAGACTAATGAAGTTCCAATTAATTAAGTTTCAAGTAAACACATAACAAAAACGCCTATATTCTATTTGCTAAAAGTCATTCCAGAGACCATTTTTTAAGTTGACCTTATGAAATGCATTTACAGAATTGAAGTCATGATAAAACCTTAGAAATTAAGGTTCACAGCAGAAATGGCAGAGCAACTGAGAGACGATTCACAAGTTGCATCAGAGTTTTTCTTTGGCAGGTTATGTTCATGCACATCAGTGATTGCCTGTTTCAATAAACCATGAATAACATACTTTTGCAGTTTGTTTTTCTCTGAGAAACCCTTTATGATTGTTTTAGGTCCTGATTTTTCACTTCACTTTGTCACAGTTCATTGCCTACTTAACACTACTCATTATTCTGTCCTTCAGAATATGAATTTTAAGCTTTCTTTCTCCCACTGATTATAGGTAGAAATAACCTCAGTGAAAGAGAGCAAAGAGTTGAATCTTAGATTAAATATATAACTTCATCAATTTAAGTAGAATAACTAAATACTTCTTTAAATTATAAGGGCACTCTATTGCTATTGTAACTATGTCTATTATTATTATTTTGCTTTTGTTGTGAAGATGATCAGTTCAGTTTAGTTCAGTCACTCAGTTGTATCTGACTTTGTGACCCCATGGACTGCAGCACACCAGGCTTCCCTGTCCTTCACCGAGCCCGAAACTTGCTCAGACTCTTGTCTTTCAAGTTAGTGATGTCATCCAACCATCTCATCCTCTGTCATCCTCTTCTCCTCCTGCCTTCAATCTTTCCCAGCATCAGGGTTTTTTCAAATGAGTCAGTTCTTCACATCAGGTTGCCAGAGTATTAGAGATTCAGCATCAGCCCTTCCAAGGAATATTCAGGACTGATCTCCTTCAGGATAGACTGGTTGGATCTCCTTGCAGTCCAAGGGACTCTCAAGAGTCTTCTCCAACACCACAGTTCAAAAGCATCAATTCATTGGCGCTCAGCTTTCTTTATGGTCCAACTCTCACATCTATACATGACTACTGGAAAAACCATAGCTTTGACTAGACAGACCTATGTAAGCAAAGTAATGTCTCTGCTTTTTAATATGCTCTCTAGGTTGGTCATAATTTTTCTTCCAAGGAGCATCTTTTAATTTCACGGCTGCAGTCACCATCTACAGTGATTTTGGACCCCAAGAAAGTAGTCCGTCACTGTTACCATTGTTTTCCCATTTATTTGCCATGAAGTGATGGGACCAGATGCCATGATCTTAGTTTTTTAACTGTTGAGTTTTAAGCCAGCTTTTTCTCTCTCCTCTTTCACTTTCATCAAGAGGCTGTTTAGTTCATCTTCATTTTCTGCCATAAAGGTGGTGTCATCTGCATATCTGAGGTTATTGATATTCTCGTGGCAATCTTGATTCCAGCTTGTGCTTCATCCAGCCCATCGTTTCTCATGATGTACTTTGCATGTAAGTTAAATAAGCAGGGTAACAAAATACAGCCTTGATGTACTCCTTCCCCAATTTGGAACCAGTCTGTTGTTCCATATCCAGTTCTAACTGTTGCTTTTTGGTCTGTATACAGATTTCTCAGGAGGCAGGTAAGGATGTCTGGTATTTCCATCTCTTGAAGAATATTCTACCGTTTGTTGTGATCCACACAATCAAAGGCTTTGGTGTAGTCAATAAAGCAGAAATGGGTGTTTTTCTGGAGTTCCCTTGCTTTTTCTATGAGGATGATAATGAACTCTTAGATAAAAACAGTAAAAGTTAATTTAAAGGGTTTATATTAGATAAGGAAATCTTGCATATCATGGGAGGAAAACTGAAAACTCACTATTGCTTTTCAATACATATTTCATTATTGTGTTCAGAGAATTATTATAGTCTTTAATAATACCTCCTTTTCTAAGTTATTTTTCCAAAGAAAAATACATCTCTTTTCTTAAAGAACAACCATATCTAAGAGGCTTTAGGAAGTGTAATCATATCACAGATTTTCTTTGTTTGAGCATTATTAATTTTCCTTGTCACTTTATTCTTTTATTTATATTCAGTCATTCAAATGAAGCATTTGAGTACTTTGCTTAAACTTACTTATAATGGGCACAGTACTCCCCTAATCTTTTAGGTGTATAAGACACATACACTAATTAGTATTCAATTTCATTTTCTTCCTTATCCTGATAAAAATAAAAATTAAAATTGCCATTTTTAAATTTACACACACAGCATGCAATTATGGATAGTACCACAAAGTTCATAATTGGTTCTGAATTTTAGGAGTTAGTTCAGTAAATACAGTTAAACAGAAATCTATTTTTCTTTTCTAATTTTTTTGACCTTTATTTCCTCACCTAGATTTTTTCCCCCAAGTAATAAATAACCACCATCTTACACATTAACTCATTCATTAGCATCCTGGAATATCAATTTCATATCTGACTGCTATGTTAGAAATAATAACTTTACACAATTATAGAAATATGCTTTGTATTATGCAAAAATTAAAAGTTTATCTAAGCCTCTGGGAACTTTGCTAATTGAATCAGATTAGTCAGGATGATTATTATTTTAAAAGATAAACATTTTCCATTCCTATTATTTTCCTTTTCTTTTGTTACAGATATATGTAGTAAAATATGTTTTATTGTTTTCTTTTTTTAATTTCTAAAGTGATTTTTGTTTGTATATGTTCTTTCTGGGATGCATACATATTGGATTTTCAGTCATTTATTTATTCATCCATTCACCAGACATTTACTAAATGAATGTCTGCTCTGTGTCTATTTTTCACTGGGCACTAGACAAACAAAACTACTTGCTTTCACAATGCTCTATATCTAAGATATAGGGAAGTAAATAGAGTAAACATAATAATGTAACGTGTATTCTGGTGTTACATCATCTGCTAACCATTTTATTTGAACCATAATATTTTATTATATCTAGACAGTCTATTTTTAATAAAACTTTTGTTAAGCTAAAAACTAGGGACATTAACTTTTGAAAATACTTACAGCCATGCAATACATGTATAATGGGAATTTCCTTTTGTGTTCTATAAATACACTAAGCTAGTTTAGAGACTTTTTGTGGGTCACATAACCCACTCCAGTATTCTAGTCTGGGAAATTCCATGGACAGAGGAGCCTGGTAGGCTACAGTTCATGCACTTGCAAGGAATCAAGCATGACTGAAGTGACTTAACATGTACAGACATACTAAGGAAAAGCCATAATTTTCCTCTGAAAGTTAATTTAACAGTAATTGTTTCAGTGCTACTATTTAATCACTGAGAAAAATAGGTTTTGATCTTTCTATTTTAAGTAATTCATTACCCCTTAGAAAATGTGAATATGATGTTACTATGTTCCTTTTCTGTATGCCACAGAGCTTGGGGGACGGTAGTTATTTCTCAAACTTCGGTATGCACAGGAATCACGTGGGTCACTGGATACAAACAGAAACTTCTGGATTGTCCCACAGTCCCATTTATTGAAGGTCATCCTCACACTGCCCAGTAAAAACCTGTCTTATCAGTTTATAAAGCCTGCATTTGAAC